TATATAGAGTATTAATTAAAAAGATAATCTGTCTTCAAGTTGGTTACATTTTAGAGGAAAGAAAATTGATTTGACAGATTAGAGAAGCAGAACAGAGAAGAACCCATGACATGGTATACAGGATACAATTTAAGCTACTATGGCTCATGGTAGAGCTGGCAGGTAACCTTGAACCAACAATATTTTGCAGTAGTTTTAAATATAAGTGTGATAATAATACATATAAATAGTTGTAAATACTTTTCATATATTTCTTATAAGATGTTGTAGGTCAAAGGTTAGTAAACTGTCCTTTCTACTTCTGCATGAGATTTAGAACTTCAGTTGACTTTCTGGCTCTTTTTCCCTGGAAACCTTATAAAGTAGTCTCTTAGGTTGGGTTTCCCAGATTAACAGATTTTGAAATGGAAGTTTGCATGTGGGAAGTTTCTTGGGGAGTTTTCTTGGGATCAGCACCTGAAGGAGAGGAGGGAAAAAATGTAGAATTCAGCAGGAGTTGGACTGTAATGTAGTTACAACAAAGGCCTCAGCTAACTCCATGGTGATCTCTAGGTTTGTGGTGACTTTTTAGAGATGTCCTGCCTTAGGCAAGGGTCCAGTGGTGGGATTGTAACCTGAAGCAACATAGATTTCTTTGGCTGAGGACAATTCCTAGAAAGTGCATCAGATAGGCAGTCTGTGCCAATATTCCCACAGCTCAGGAAATGAGTGCCTTACAACTGAAAAGATTGTGGGCAGCACACCGTAGCATCCACTCTAAGTGGATGATTGCTAGGCAACATTGTCTATGGTAGAAAACGACCTCTAATTGGTAAACCGCATCAGGATTAGCAAGAATTAGAATGCACTACCATAGCTTCGCTCTTTACTGAGAATAGTGACTCTCATAATTAGACTTGTCTCTTATGGGAAGGGATCTTGAAAGCCATGCCTATGGAGCTATTTCAAGAGGCTTTGGTTTCTATTGGGTATATTTTTAAGCCAGGATAACTCTTGCATTTGCCCAAGGTGAGTCTGATTCCTTCATGCCTAAATTAACACCCTGTGGACCAAAGATAGTAACTCCCAGAAGGCCGTGTGGGCTGCTACAAGAACTGCTGTGAGGCTCCCACTAAAAAGCAATGTCTGGTGCTGCTATGCTGGAAATCTTGATTCCTGCCCTCTTTCTGAGTAAATGGATGCCTAGTGTGGCCCAACAAACTCATAGTCATGAGTTGGATAGTTTAGTTGTATGTATATAAAAGATCTCCTTGCGGATATTGTAGACATTTTTTTCGGTGTTTTCACTTTTTGGAATGTTTGGCTTTAATGTCTAAAACTAAAGAATAATTTAATAACCTTAAAGTCAGTCTGAAGATATTTAAGTATTTGAGGCACATGGAAAAGTTGAGATTTTTCTTTCCTACTGCTGAAAGGCTACTATTAGTAAATAGATATTGTTTCCATGGACTATGGAGGAAAAGACTCAGCTATAACACTAATCTCTGTAAACAGTAGTCTTTTTATTTAAACAGTAGAAAGAACTGTTGGTTCATAACTCTCCTTTAGTCATAGATGGGCCATTTGGACTTGGCTAGCAGTTTCCCTCATAACTTATGATTCACGAAATTTTGTTCATTCTTCTTTTATGATTCATTGTATCCCTTCCTTACTGTTCACTCTACTACCACCCAGAGGAGTATTATAGTCTCTGTCATCTCATATGTGGATTACTAAACTGTTCTCTGCCTTTAGGCTTTGCCTAATCTGAGCTGCATTACCCATATGATCCTAGACTGAATTCCATGACAGAGTTATCCCTAGGATTTTCAATGTATGTGTGATACAGATTTGCCTGGAGCACAAGGTCCCTGGAAATAAAAGTGAGAGGAAACACTACAAGGATAGGTTTACAGAAGATGCTGGCTAAAGAGCTCCGGTTATTTTGTAGGCAAAGGGAGCCATTTCAGTAAATGACATTTTTAGCAGGAGAGTGGCTTGATCAGAGTACAGCTCCAGAAAAATTTTGATCTGGCAACACAGTAAAGGGAAAGACTAAAAGAAATGAGACTAGTTAGGAGTCTATTGTAAGCAGACCTAAACTGAGGTGGGAAAAGAAAGAATGAGACAGATAGGATCCCCACAGTATCAAGGAAGGATTGGTAACTGTGAGAAGATAGCATGGAGAACTTTACTGAGGTCAGATAGTATGGATTTATAATGGGCCCATTGAACTTGGTACCAAGACAGTCCAATAGGAATAGGGAAAGTAATACTCCTCACACATTGCTGCTTCTTAATACCCCTATGAAATTTCAAACCTATTAAAAGCCAGGAGCATGGCATACTTCTTATCATACTTCTACTTCCAGCACAAGACTTAATGTAGACAGAACAATCTATGTATATTTATCCTGTCCACATATAGAATATTTAGGACCATCACAGGTATTTCAGATGGTTAGTTCTGCCAACTATCAATAGGTGGAAACTCTGTTAAGTTTTTCCCTATTTTGTTTTTGCATTTCTTTCATTCTAATATATAAGCAGGGTGACCATGTGTCCAGGTTTTTGCTGGATAGTCCCAATTTAGACCTGTTCTCCCAGTACAGTTACTAATAATATCTTTCTTCACTCTCAAAAGTGTGCACGATAAATTCTATGGTCACTCTAGATATATCTACAGAAAAGTGCTAAATATGTTTGGTCAGTTTAAAGAATAACTATAAAGAATACACTTGTGTAACTACCAACCCAGTTAAGAAATGGAACACTGGCAGCCACTAGAAATCTATTTCCTACTCACAACTTTGTCTTTCTTCCTTAGAGTTTAACCACTATCCTCATTCTTATCATGACATTTTCCTCCCTTTTAAAACAATGAAAGCTAAATTATCAAAGACTAAAGTCTGTACAAGAATTTCCTTCCAACTATTTTACTCATTATATATATTTTAGGTGTAATTTCATATTACTAATAGATATCCTTGAAAGTATATTTGTATTTTAGTATATGACTACAAGGTTGTTATAGGTAATCAGCCTGAAGATAAATGTGTTTTTATTATTCACACGACTCTTGGCCTCAAGAATTTGAAAATCTAACTAGTAATTACAATACAAATCCTTCAGTGCAATAATGGGAAGCATGCACAAGATGTTGTTAAAGGACATTACCTAGCCCTTGGGGGTGATAGAGAAGAACGCTTCCTAGAGGAGATGATCTCTCCTTTGAGTACTGAGGACAAGTAAGGATTATGGAGGCGAAAATGGTGTGGAAAGTGAGGACAGAGCACAAAGGTCACTTTATTGACAAATGAAAGGATCCATAGATAAGAAAAGCATAGCACAGTTTTGTTACTGCAAGTTGCTCCCTGTAGCTAGAACACAGAGAATATTCTCTATGGTCTCTTAGGGGGAAAGGGATATCTTTTGAGTCAAAGTATTTCATAGGGCAATGGAAAGAGATAGAGTTCAAGAGATAGAACAAAGCTAGATCATGAAGGGCCTTGAATGTCATACTGAGGAGTTTGAACTTCATCTTGGGGACAGTGAGAGAACTTTGGAGGGTTCTAAGCAGGAAGTGAATAACTTGGCAACATGATCATATTTGCATTTTTAAAAGGTTATTCTCATTACAGGATTAAAGCATGTAAATGGCCAAACCTAGATGCAGGGAAACTGGGCTAGAGATTGTTGCAGCCATCGACTTGTAAGATGAGGGTGGCTTGAGCTAAACCAGATGAAATCAGAATAGAGAGATGTAGATGAACTTAAGAGACAGTTGGAGGCAGAATAAATAGGATTTTAATGATTGATTATATGAGGAATGTGAGGGAGACTGAAAAGATGATTCTCAAATTACAGTTGGATGTGGGGAGCATAGAAATGATACAGGTTTGTAGAGAAGGTTTTTAGGATAGTGCTGGATTGGTTGAGTTTGAAGTGTCTATGATACATCCAAAAGGAAGTGACCGTTAAGCAGTTGGGTTTGTGGCTCTGCAGAGAAATTTACAGCAGAGTTAGACATTAGGGAGCAATAGCATCTAGATGGCGGGTGAAGCCATGCATATGGACCTTAATAAGTTACTATAAAATTTCCAAGATGGAAAATGTGAATAAATTGTGTTCATTGTCTAATACCCATGACATTCTTAGGAAATTAGTCTTTTAGCGTTAAAGCTTCTAAGTATTTGTACAAAACATTTTCATAATCTGTTCTAGTTCTTAGCAGTTTGCTTTTGATCAATGTTATTTAGATTTTTAAATTTGTTTTTTCACATTATCCAGGTTTTTGATTTAACTATAATATGTGTCAGCTATAGAAATAAATAAAGGAAAATGAAATTATTATAGAATTTTGGGGATTTAAGTAATATAAATGTATTTATTAGGATTTAGCAAGTTAGGAGAAATGTAAAAACACCTAGGCTTATATAATTAGGCTTTCCCAATCCAGAAAACAATATGTATAGAAAATGCATATTGTATAGAAAAAATTATATATATTTTTAATAATTTCAATAGAAAATATTTTATCATTCACTTTTTCCTTATTTTCAGCTACAGAGATACTTAAAATCTTATAATCAAATAATTTAGATGTATATATAATGTAAATATTTTCAGACCTACATATATGAATATATAATAAATAATTTTTTAGTGTTATATTGTTTTATTACAAGACCACTATAACTTTCTGTTATGCAATTCTATTATACTTAGATGTATTTTAATATCTCCGGTATACCTAGAATGTTTCTGTTAAAAAATGTATTTATTTTAATATTTTGCTTCGGAAGATTATAGTAGCAGTGAAGCTCAGCAATACTTTGCTAGTAGTTCAGTAGTAACTTAATCTCTGATTTTAATTTTCAGTGTAGTTCTTTCATATTACTTTTATTTGGAATGAGCTATAACCATCTTATGCTATGTAGGCAAGCGTATAATTTAATTGTTGATTACTATGATAATAACTAGATACAATATGTAACATATGATATTTATTTTCTTTATAGGAAAATGGTTCTCCGGAAGAACATGCAATCTATGTTTGGGACCATTTTATAGCCCAGTCTGCAGCTGAGAATGTTTTTTTTGTTGCTCACAGCTATGGAGGACTTGCTTTTGTTGAACTGGTAAGTGCACATTTAACTCTATTTTAATTCCCAGTCTCCTTACAGATTATCCCCTCCACTTCATTTTCCCTTATAGTACTTTAACTTATTTTATAAAGGCTGAAAATAAAATATTTTGAGTAAATAATTGTATTATGTTTCAAAAGAGTATACTAATTTATTTTATGTTGACAGAGCTTTTCAGTGCTAACCAAAAGGCTTTTTGCCTGTTCCTTATTTACATATTGTATTTTAATTTCTATATTATAGTACCAGTTTCTGTATATTTCATGATATTTATGTTTCCTGTTTTATGTATACACCATTGAAGCTTATGTTATCTATAAAGTATTTAAAATTTCAAGAGACCCTTTGAATATTTAGGAATATTTTGATAATTTTTAACTGTTATCTCTAGTTAGTACTTGATACTTAATCAGAATTTATATAATTAGTATTAAAACTATCAGAAAGCTTCCATTAATCTGCTTCTAACTAGAATGCATTGCGTGGCCATAAAAATCTTTGCATTTCAAAATAATCTGATTCTTGGAATTAAGATTATGTGTATATAATGGAAAAAAATAACAAAATTTTCAAATTTTATCTATTTTATATGCAGTGTTACAAGTATCACAATCTTGTGCCAGTATGGTTAATATGATATAATCAATACTAAAAATGCACTAATGAAGAATTCATGCCTCCATGTCCATCCATACTCCCTATGTTACAGGAATGTACCAGTACTATAATAAAATGATTAATTTGATAAAAGTGCAGTTGATATTAATAATTTGAAATCTAAATAGATCTAAGTGGACATAAAAGCAGGCACAGCATTGATTGTCTAATTTTTATGTTTGTAGACTTTGGTGTGTATTTCTCTTTGTCATGGAAAATTAAATATAATTTTGTGGCCTTTCAACCTTCCTACACCTTATTGCTTGCCCACATGATTTAGATATAAAACTGGTGGTGACACCTGACACCTGAGGATACTTTAGTCAACCTAAATCTACAAATGCTTGCCTGTACTCTCTTAAGATCAACAAATAGTTAAATTGTTTATTTCCTAAATTGATTTCACTTTTAGGCATTATTTTCAAGTACTTTTAACTCTGCCAGATTAATTTATTTATTTTGATATATATAATGGATACCTTAAGATAGCTCTTTAACACACTAGTATGATGTACTTTTAAAATATGAATGTTGTTTTTCAAATAATTCTCTTCAATCCCTACAGATATAGATATATAGCTATATAGATATATATATATCTGTATCTCCATAGATATAGTTATATATAGCTTGTTTTTTTCTTTGTAAGCTGTTAAATTACTTAAAACATGAAATTTCTTGACTTGTAGAGTGACTTAAAATATGTCTGAAATCCTGCAAGGCTAATCAAATTTCAGAGTTCTGTAAAACATAAATTCCTTTTTTTTCTTTTTTCTTTTTTTTTAATTTAAGACAGTTTATAAAAATACCTTTGTACACCAAATTTGGAGTTTAAGTATATTTTGGACAGTTTTAAAAATGAACTTAAGATACCAGGGTTAACAGATGACCAATGTGTCAGTCCTGTTTTGCCTGTCCTTCTTGTCACACACTGGTGGATATTTCTCCACTTTTGTTCCACTTTAATATAAAGCACACAGATGTTTCAGAACAAGACTTGACTTCTGACCTTGAGGCTATTAGGGTCAGGGTCCTCAGGGCCTGTGAAATTATCACAAGCTGAGCTAAAATTTTTCTCCATCACAGGAAGTAACCAGTAAGTAAGAAGTTAAAAAGGAGCTTTGTCAGAGAGACAAGATGGTCTCAGTAAGGGTCAGCTTCTGTAGTCTGCTATCTCTGCAGGAGGCACATGCATGGGAGGAGGAATATAATATAACCACTGGCACATCACATATCTGTCAGGCAACGCCAGGGCTGAGAAGTCTATTTAATGTAATATATGTTGTTTAGATTTTAAAATATTAATGGCGACTATCTCAACTTCTCCTATTTTCTACTTTTTGTGAAATAACTTTGATTGGGGTATGTAACGGAAGCATACAGATGGTGGCAACTGAAGAAGGAGAGGCTAATAAAATGGATTCCTCTAAGCAAATAACAATGTACAATGATGAGTTTTACAGTGATTTTTTATAAATTTAGTTGATATATTTAAATTAACTATGTTTCTCTTTTACAAGTCTTTTTAAAAGATAGCACTGTTAAAGGAACAATAAACGTTGAAATGTTTTTAAACCTTTTGCTTTTGCCTAAACTGAAAATACTTTTTTCTACTCTTACCAGTGTTCTAAGGGGAAAATACTGACAAATATTCATTCTCTCAGAATTTTCAGTCTAAGTATAATAATATATGAAATTTTTTTACATGGATTCAAAATTTTAATATTAACCTTACAAGAAAGTGAATTGTGAATATATAAATCTTAAATTATGGTTTAGTTTCTTGTCTCACTAGCACATTGTATACATCAGATATTAAATCATTTGGGTTTCAGTAAATTTAAACTTTTTTTAATTGTAAGATTTTACTCCTGATTAAAGATTCTACACACACATACATATTTCTTAGAGGACAGTCTTAGTTCATAGCATCATGTTTGAATGCATGGAAATCATTTTTCTATCGCTGTTACACAAGTTCACATTCTTCTTTAGGTCATGAATTGCAAGAAAATGTATGTTAAATGTAGACTTCGCAGCAAGTACAGTTTCACCAGTAAATGCAGTTACTTATAATACTTATTGTTTGAATAACAGGTATCGGCGAGGACCTGTGATGAAATGTATCTTGCCATTTACTAAAATTAAAGTTTTATATAATTATAATTTAAAGCTAACTGTGCTGCTAATAGGTATATGAAGATAAATTACATTTAAATTTAGAGCACAAAATATTTGTAGAGCTTTAATGTTTTGCTAATTGTTTTTGAAAACTGAGGCCATATTTATGATTATATCCTATCTTAAAGTGTTGAATTTCTCCTAAAGAATACCTTATAGTCAGATTTATTTTCAAAACCAGTGTTCATTTTATGGTAGTAAATCTTAGAAATTGACCCGATCAAACCCCATAAAAACAATGTACACTTCACTATAATGAGAAAAGCGACATTAAAAATATTCTTTTCGCTGCTTTTACTCTCATCATGTGTTAACAATTCAAATGTCCAATTCTCTAAACTTTCTGTGTTCCTAGTGAAAATAGATATTGATAAGACAACTCTGGTATTAATTCCCGGATTCAGTCATTAGAGACAAAAGGAAAGTACTGTTTATCTTATGAATACATAGTGAATTTTCAAAATTAATATATCTGCCTATGTTATCTTTTCTCTATATTTAAAATAATGCCAGTATGGAAAGCTACAGTTATTAAACTATCATTTACAAAGCCTTAACTTTCTGTCTTAGAAAGTTTATTTTTACTTGATAGAATTAATAATTATAATTAGAATGCATTTACCAAATTCATTTGGAAAGACATCTACAAATTATGCAGCTTACTTTTTTGCCTTTTAGTAGTTGTTAAAAATTCAGGCTCATTTTTTTGAAAATTAACTGTCATTTTAAAACAATGCAATTTTGGACCTTTTTCATCATCTCGTTTTCCAACCATTTTGATGAAGTGATGAAGCATTGCTTCCATTGTTGGCCATTTCAGAATGCTTTGCTCTTCTCTTTCTAGGTGATCAGTTTGGCCACATCAAGTAACCTTAATTTTTTATTTTATTTTTTTTAATTGAAAATGAGCAGTCTTTCCTTGCCAATGCCCAGTTACTGATATCAGCTCACCTTCCCTGCCCTTTTTGCAATGCTCAATAAATCAGTTTGCATTGATATTTCTTTCTTTAAGCCAAAATGAAAGTGTTCATATTTTTTTATAAAACAGGAACAATTTTAATAAGCATATTTCATTAGTTTATTGAGTCATCTCAGCTGATATAAAATTAGTATTTTTCTTATTACTTTTATTTCCTTTTCCATGTTATTAGTGGTATGTTCACAACCACCATTAAAAACATCACTTAGAAATGTGTGAAAATAGCTCCTTTTGAAAGTGTATCTCTACCCACTTTTGATTTTAGTCTCTCCATGCTTGTCAGCACTTGATTGGCACCTCACTTGCATGTGAATTAAGGAATGAAGGGAACTCTATTTTCCTGCCATTGTTCCATGCTGGGCTCCCTGGCCTCCAGGCAGCCTAAGCTGCCCTTCAGCAGCTGATAGAGGACTAGTTTTTGGACATAGCTATATGAGGACACTCAACCTCAGTCTACTCTCAGTAGATCTTTTTAAATTGCCTGGAGCATGATTTGGATTTACACTGAAGAAAAAATGGAATGGAACTAAAATAATTAGTTTTTACCTTTAGTGACATCAACTAACTATGACCTTAAAGAAGTATCATTTACATTTTGTCCAAGAAGAACAAAGTAAATTGGATATTGGTAGGATATCTGCTTAATGTGATCAATGAAAATAGCTGAAAGTTGGGCTGCTGAGAATCAAGAAATAAGGGGAGATAAAAAAAGAAAAATTGAGTTATAATAGTATCAAAATAATTCAGGCCAAAAACACTATTACAAACCTACTTTAAAATCTAGGTGATTCAGTAAAAATAAGTTGCCTTTTATAACATAACTACAAGATACATACTAATTAGTTTTGTTTTAAAGTGTTCTTTTATCTCTAAGTCTTGTTTTGCCTAAATAATCTAAAAACAACATGATATTTCTCTTATTCCCTCCACGTTTGAAAACCCTATATATTATAACAACATGATTAGTTTTAAATATCTGCATAGTTAGTTGACTCATATATAGAGTTTAAGCCTTAACAATAACTCTTCTGTTAACTAAAGATTAATTCTCCCTACTCTCCATTTAAATATTGGCTAATTTCAGAATTCTGCGTAATCACTTCTTTCACATTAAATGGTTTTATCCTTTTTGTTCTGGAGTAAGTCTCTTATAATCTCCTTGCTGCTGGCATCCCCA